TTGGGGGTAAAGTCGGCTCGGGGAAGGGAGGCGCGCACGACCGGGCATTCCAGGTTCGTGGGTGCCACGATGTCGGGGACTTGAGTCGGGTCTGAAATGTACTCGACAGTAAACGTCAAGTCGTCCCCAAGCCCATGCGTCATGGTGTTATCTCTCGATTTGCACAGCACAAATGTCTCTCCTGCAAACTTGAGCTCGAGCAACTGGCCGATCTCGCACCCCATCTCGATCGGCTCTCCGTCGTCGTCCACTACAGCCGACACGACATGAGACTGCTCCATGCTGCCCTGCATCAACTCGATTGGCGGAATCTGGGATGCAGTCAAACACTGCGCCGTAATGGGCGTGCCGTCCAGCGCCGACTTGGACCAGTACGCGCGGTTGTCAAGGAGCACGTACGTCTCGGTTACTTCAGCACCGGGCTGAGTCAAGATAGCATCAAACTCCAGCATATCGTCTTCGACGTAGCTCGCGCGGGGGACGATGTACACAGTGGCGTTAGTCTTGCCGTTGAGCTGCATGCACGGGCGGAGGGCGGTCAGCGAGACCTTCAGGGCAGACGTTTGCTGGATATTGGACAGGATGGATTTCGTGTTGGGTTTGGCTTGTGGCTGTGCAATCAGTATCGCCCCGGCCGTGAAGCAGACGACCCCACAAAGAGCGAGGACTGCGACGACGACGCGAAAGCGCGTGATGACTGGCTTCCGTTGCTCCATGGGTGCCTCCAACTCGCAAGGGGTGTCAGGAATGGCTGCAAATGGCTCGTCCGTTGGATGGCTTGGCTGCATATTCTTTCGGTCAACGATGTCAATTGTAAAGTGGAACGGCAGGCAGTAGTCGAATCTACGAGAACGGAAGTGATGACTGGTATTGTCGCAGAGCTGTCTTGGTCTGCCTCGTAGGGCGATCGAAGTAGACGTGGTAAATTGTTGATCAGATTGTAGGGGTGAAGTGCGTGTTGATTTGACATGTCGTTGGAAGTCCGCTCGCATTTTGACCATGCCATGATGTTTTACTGGATGCAACCTGCACAACATTTCAAGCTAGATCGTCAACCTCGTGGAGAACTTGCGCGTTCCCTATCTCGTGGTCTCATCCAGCACTTTCGATGCGATGCTTCCAAACACGGACCATACAGTACGATGGACCTACAACGTCCTTCCACATCACGCTGGTCGTGTGAAATATTCCACATGCGAGTCTCGCATGCTCGTTCTGATTGCACTTCGACCAAGAACTTCCTGCTCCAAGCAACATGTTGACCAGCAGTTTCATCGTGAATGCCTGGGTTTCCCATACACTGTGGGATGATTTCCATCTGCGACCTACTACTCTGCCCTCATTTCACTTCGCGTCTCCATCGCAACTCACCCAGCGGCAGATGAAAGTCGCGAAACGTGTCCGTCTACCTACGCTAGGCGGTGCGCAATATTTTGCTGTCGAAGTGCGTTCATGACAGCAAAAGCATGGGTCTTTGTTGGAGATTGCTAATGACTTGAACTGTTTCAACAATCTGGATGCATTATACACAGTACGAAATAAATATATTCGCACATCAAAAATTTGTCCCAGCCTTGCCAGTGCCAGCACACAAGGTTTGGCTGGTGGCACATCTCATGGTGGTGCCTGGACAAGCCTTTGTTTTGATTATATTTCGAGTTTTTTGGGCGAATCAAAACTGTTACAGAAGTGCGGGTGTGCTTTCACAACTTCGACTGTAAAAGTATTCCTAAAGGCAATTCAAACCTAAGCGTACAAATTTCCATATACAGTAACCTAGAATACTGTACCACTTCGTCGAGTTTTTATGGTTAGCGGTATGGCGGGAGACAGCAGCCTTAAGTCGGGAATCAACGAGGAGATCGTGTAGTCGACGTTAAGTGATTTTGTGTTGTGCGGTAAAGGTTTCCCGGAGGTAGATAATGTCGCACTCCAGAATTGTAATTGTGATATTGTGGAGATGCTAGCTTGCACATTTGGTCTTGTAGTCTTCCCCGAAGATGTTCTTGTACTTGTGGGAATGCGAGCAGCCATGTAGGCCAGGGGTTGTCAATGTGTTTTGGTGTCCATTTTCTCGTGCAGATCTCGAAAACAATGGGCATGTGATCCGAGTTGTGCCATTTCATGCCTAGGGAATGGTTGTCATTGACGAAGAGGTATGAGCTGCCCAGGACCACGTCAATCTGATGTTTCGTTTGGGGGCTGGTAAAGTCCATGGACGTTGGGTGCTGGATGCGCCATGGGTCAACAAGTTTGAAGGAAAATATGCCATTTCTCGGCAAAACGGCAGGGTAGATCATATCCAAGCGGTGCGGAAGAGTCTGTGCCGAGTGGTTGCAGAGTTGTTTTATAGTCACCGCAGACGACGCCGGCCTGTCTGAGAATTGTGCCGGCGCGTAGATGACGTAAATGTAGAGAGTGTGTTATTTAGGGTGCCTTGAAGAACGAGGTATTGATTGTGTAGTGAAGAGGTGGTACAAATAAATTGGGGTGTGACATCGACTACGTCTTGTATAGGGTACGAATTGGTGAGAAGCAGACCCAATCCATTGTGTCCCGCTAAGGACAGGGAGTGCGTGTGGGACCAGAATGCACGACCAGATGCGTCGTACATACGTCAGTGTGGTCGGCGTTGTGGAGGTTAGCAGCAGAGGAGAACTGAGGTCCGTCGAGCGCATGAGAGAGAACTTAGTGGTCAGAGAGGAAAAGAGGATGCAGATTGTTGAAGCCATTGGTGTTGAGTGTTGCACCACGTAGTTGCCAAGCTGGCGAGTTAGGCGGAGTAGCAGGGTAACATTGTGGCCTTCATGGGATGGAGGGCAGCCACCAGCATCTTGGATTAGGGCCGTTGACATAGATCTCGAAGACAGCGTCACTGGGGCCAGCCTTAAGGCATATGGATGGGTCTCGTGTTCAGAATTAGACTGTGATTTGTCGGGACTTGATCGAGTTCATGTTTAAGGTTGATTTGATCATGACTGGAGGTTTCCCCATACTGTCGAAGTAGATCCATACGTCTTCGGATTGTGCATCATTCGCAAGGGACGAGTCGATCCAGTACAAGGGTGAGCAATCCGTGTATTCACGATTATGGGAAAGGTCGACCACAATTGCGAGCTCCGGGCCGTCCAAGCAAGTGACCATTTCGCGATCCGTGCAGTTTAAGCTGATGCCAAATTTTTTGACAACATTAAAAATAATCGTGGCACAACCCCTTCACCGTGGCTCACGTCGCGAGTTGATGTGTTGTTGCAAGGCTGTCAAGCATAAATTGTAGTGGGAAGGTAGCATCAGCGGAGTTGCACGCGACAATCTTGTTGAAGGTTCAAGTGGTGCCGGGTTTGGCAGAAATGACGTGTCGGCAGACAACGGTCAACAGAAGAAAGGTGCCAGTTTGGAATGCTCGCATTGCCACAGCAATCTCAGTGTCCATTGGACGACAGCGAAGGTTAGAGTGCGTCTTATACCCCAAGCACGCCAGTTATCATCGATTTCCCCTTTCTCCTGTCCTGCTTCAGACGCAGGTATGGGTGTTGTTGACCTGTAATTATCGGTTGGCATGGTCGTTGGGACATTGTTTTTTTCTGCGAACATCCCCAGTTCTGTTACCCTGTGGCCCCATAATAGGTTGACCGCTCATTTTCATTGCCCTAGGGACATCAACGCGATTGGGGGTGGACAAAGAAGACTTAGGTCATCAGACTTGGCACAATGGCGTCCAGGTCAGTTGTTCAGTGGGACCAGATGCTCCAGAGAAGCTTGACCACTAATTTTCGTGGCCTAGTGTCAAACAACATGATCGACAGAAAGACACATCGGAACAATTCGTCGGACAGGCCAGGGCCATCACCCGAACGGTAGTTAAGTGGGCCCAGGGGTTCCAGAGGAGCTTGTCCACTCACGTGTGGCTCTAGGGGCAACGACCCGACCGACATTGGCTCGATAGAACGGTTGGAGGATTACGAACGTCCGTGCGAGGGGGATAGGACATTCCACCGTGCGACATCAGAGAATCGGCAGACGATTGATCGGCAGGAACGATCATGGGTGTCAGAGAGGTATAATTGGTGGTGCCAAGGCTCAGGAAGGGAACTTTCTGGATTGACTTGGTATTTTGGGGGACTTTGCAGGAGCGAGCAAATTGAAAAGTGTGCCTATATTTCACCTAATGATGTTTCATTACATGCGTGATTTTTCTCGAGTACAGTACACCACCTCGTCGAGCATATACTACTCTGGTCCACATTAACTGTCCCATTGTTTTGACTTGATTAAAGTATACTGGCCAAGCTCGAAATGTCTTGAAGTTTG